ATACCACCCAATTTCACAGATATTTTTAAAAGCTTCATTTGCCTTAAGGCCCCCAAAGCAAAGCCACCAAAGGATTTACAAAAACGAGACTTTCTCCAACTCTCTGACCTATGTGCTCCTTTGGATGTCTCACCTATCCCTGAGAGAGATGACCTTCAACAGTTTTTCCTGTATCATTTACTATGTTGCTTCTGCAAATCCCAGAAGAGACCAATAGTTTTTATCTCCCATTCTTGTGCATAAAATCCCATACAGTATACTTTGTTTTCACCTCACTTTGTCTTCTCTTGATGATAAATGTTGGAGATATTCCCATTTTCTTACAGAGAGTACTTGCTCATTTTAGAACAATAGCTCCATGGTATTCCATGGTACCTTCAATTTCGCCAGTTCTTTGTGGAAGGTTCTTGTGTGTTGCTTCCAGTTTTTGACTACTAAAAACAGCACTGTGAGAAATAACTCTGTGCCTGAATCATTTCATAGAAATAAGATAAAAATTTTTAGAAGTGGGATTCCTGAGTCATAGTGCAAATGCACATGTGATTTGAGTAAAGAACTAAATTTTCATCAAAAGTAACTATAGTATTTTATTTACTGAGAAAAATTGAATGGAAGTTTGTTTCTCTATAGCAATTTCAATTTAGTGTTTCTTCATAAACTCTTAAATGTTTGTGAATGTGAAACCCAAGACATTATATCTTGCTATGCTTTTGAATTTCAAATCTAGCTTAGTATGTATGAGGTGAAATTTTGTCTTGTATTAAAAGAAACCTATATTTTATATACTGGATTATCTGAGGGTCTATCTCACCATGACCACCATACAGTAAATATCTTAAGGAAGAGATAGTATTTTCTTTTTTTTTTCATCTAATTCTGGTTGTCAGAACAAGGTCTGAAGCCCCTCCCCCGCAAAAAACCGAAACAATTGCCATTTCCCTTATATCTCATAATATTTTAGTTGTATTGATATCATTGCTTCTAACTTTTAAATTATGTTTTTAAATAATGTATCATACACAAATGCAATTTAAAATGTTTACATGATTACAATCTTAAAATCATTCAAGTTCTAAAAAAAATATGGTAATTGCTTCAATATTAGCAATGATATACCATGACTTTTTGAATATGTTGAACTCTGCTTTTCATTTCCTAAAACTTTTTAATGTAAGTAATGGTAGATGGGATCTTTCTTCCAAAATCATTATTTACTCAATGGTATCAGGATTTGTTCTTTTCTTTTGCTCCATTATGAAAGCAGAGTAAATGCTGAGTAAATAATTTCCACAGATAAGCAATGACACAAAGGGTAAGAGACAGCTCTCTTGAATGTACCAAGACCACGAATGAAAGCTTAAATCCTTTAGAATATATTTCTGCACCAGTTGGTTTTAGATAATGTCTGTGATTCCTGTGCTCAGTGATTTATGTCAGATTAATAGCATGCTGAGGTATCTCTGCATGGGCACTTTATACTGCCCAGTTAATACTACATATACAAATGGGCAGTTATATCCAGATATTCAAGTGATGTGGAAAGTCTGTCTTGGAAGTTCACAAAAGAGGAATGTAGATGTGCAAATATGATGAGACTATATGGAAGAATCAAAACAGAGTTAACGTGGCCACCCAGAATACAGCCCAAACATGAATTTGAAGAGTGGCGAGTTGGTGAATTTATATTGACTTTGAAATACAGTTGAAAAAAAAGGGTGTCTTGGTGTTTGGAAATGCTAGAGATACAGTAATGTAGTGAAGGAAATTTGCAAATATCCACCCTGGAGAATTGCCAGGTATTCCACAGAATGTGGGATATAGGGCAAATGTGGGATAACCCTGAGACTCTCAAACTTTCCAAATACAGAGAAGACAATTTCCAATCTCTAAATTTATATGAGCACTTTCATAAACAAATATCTTTTTTTATTCTCACTCAAAAAAATCAATGTTTTTGTTAAAAAAACTTTTCTAAGTTAACCTTATTCAATGTTTTCTTCCCATTTAATGTGATGATTGTGAAGATTTTATGATTACCTCCTTGCCGTAAATTTAATTTAGCACCTTGCTTGCCCCCACCTCTTTGAAAAATAAAAGTACATTTGGATTTGTGAATTATTCAAATACTTCACTACCAATAGATAATTGTTATTGTATGGTTTTCCTGAACTCCATATCCATCCAAGTGGACTCTCAATGATAATACTTAGCTGAGATCACAGCTGAGATGCTAAAATCACAACTTTTGAAGAAAGTAATAAAGTTATGAATATAATTAAAAGTAGTTATAAAAAAGTTGGCTAGCCTCATGAGGATTTCCATCATAAAATAATGGTAGGAAATGTGGAGTAAGAAATAACAGCAATCACTTTGATAGAGACTTAGAACACTGCATTGATAACTGTGTTTAAGCCTTTTGATGTGCAATCATTGGGAAAATGAATAAATAATAATGGACACCACGGAAGCAGGGTGGTAGTAGGAAAGAGGCAATAGAGAGAGTTGTGGGAAATAGTAGAATTCGGCTATCTAGTTGTAAGAATAGATCACAAGAAGTTTGTTAACTAAGAGAATTAAGTCGTTTCTGGGAAATTCCACAAGTCTGTTAAAAGAATACCAGAAAACTTTGAGACCTTGTAAAAGTCTCACAGGAGAAAAACAGGTTTTCCTAGTTTTCTTATTTACCATTTTCTGGGATCAAAGGACCGAGACCCAGTGATTCTACGGGTGGTAAGACAGATACGACTCATTATGCACACCTGTGATGTTTATGGTGGGCTGGTGGGCTTGATTTTTGGCTAAAAGTCATCCTGCTCTCTTGATACTATCTGATAAGAAGAGGGCTGCGGTGTGCTCTTTGATGTACCGGATTGGTGAATGGAAACGGGGGACTTGTGAATTCGCCTGTAGCTTTTGTGAGTCACTTAAAGTCACTGGTTATCATCAGAGGTGAAAATCAGAAAGACAATAGCCAGAATAACTAAGCTGCTTTCCTACCTGTATAAAAGCCTTGGGTCTTTCCTTTGAGATTGTCAAACAGTGCCACAGGAATTAAACTCCTGTTCGTCCCCCAGGCTGTCTCCTTTTCTTTCTTTAAAAGTCGGTGCTTTCCGGGGTCTCCAGTTTCCCTCAAGAGAAACCAACAGAGAGTAAACAGAAAAATAAAGGTGGCATGCTTGTGGATTGTGCTGATGGGACAATGAATTTAGTAGTAATGAGTAAAAAATTCTCCGTGTAAAGAGAATTTTCAAGAAGGTGATCTTGACTTTTGGGGTGTGAAGATGTTATTTTATACTCATGCTCTAAGATATGTAAGTGGTTTCCTTTCTTGTTCTCTCTCTCTTTCTCTCTCCCTCCCTCCCTCTCTCTCTCCCTCCCTTCCTCCCTTCTTTTTCTTCTCTCTCTCTCTCCTTTTCATACCGGAGATTGAAAGAACACAGGGACATGCTTCCATGGAGCTACATTCACAAAGAGTTTTATTTTTATTTTAGTCTGAGACATGGTTTCCCTAAGTTTTCCAGGCTGTGCTCAAACTTGGAAGCTTTCTCCTTCAGGCCTGAAAGTGCTGGAATTACAGATGGGTGCCACAGACATTGCCTCTGTAAGAGTCCACTCTATGATAATCGCAAATCTCCTGGTGGCCCAGAGAAGGCAATGTCCCTGGGAAGAGATTCCAGAACCCAAAACTGAGGTTTGCAAAGTTATTTACAAAATAAAGCATCCCTGTGCCCAAGTTCTTGACCCAGAGGGACCCATTCTGAGAGCTGCTTCTTGCAACTCCAGGGAACATAAGGCAAGTAGCCACTGGGAGACCCACACTTCCTGGAACAAGAAATATAAATAGGAAAGTGTCTTGGAGCAGTAAAGACACTCTGGTGAATGCAACAGTTACTATTGTCATCAGAGTCAGGTAATGGGCAGGGCTTGTACAGAAGAGGTAAAGTAGTTAAAGAAGAGAACTAGGAGGTGGCTTCAACCCTTCCAGAGTGAGGTCTATTAGGGTTTAGAAATAAAAGCCTGGGAACACTGACCTAGCCCACACATCACAGTAATCTGACAAATGCCTTAATGACTTTCAGGAATCATAGACAAAGAGATTCGAGAACAGCTTTTTAAACAATTACTTAAATGTCTTCATTTTGTAGAACAGGAAAGTGCAGTAAAGAGGAGAGAAATGGTCAGTCCCAATATTCATTTTGGATAAAACTAGTTTACAAAGTGACAAAAGAAACTTACAAAATTAACTGCCTAAAGAATATTTTTTTCCCTAATATAGCTTTTCCTGACCTGTGTAATATGGGCCTTACTGCATTCATTCTCTTCTCTCCCCAAATCTATGAGAATTAATTAACTATGCCTCCCTTTGAGATCCTTCCAAACAATATGTCCTGTCTGCTTTTCAATGATTCAGTCTGTGCTGCAGTTCTGAGCTTTAAGAAATGCCAGTAGAGGACCCTCAATTGTTTATTCCACTTCACCCTTTAATGAGAACATTGCTAAATTCCAGAGTCTCCTTGAGGGAATCTTAGAAGTCATCTTCTCAAAAGTATACATCTTTACATCTCCTTTCTAACAGTTTAGTATGGCTGGTTGTTGAATACAGAGTATACAATATGAGTAAATATCTTCAAGTATCTCAGAACATTTCACTTGGGAATGTAGAATGGTGAACAAGAGAAAATTCTTATCTTTTGTAACCAATCAGGAGAGTGTGGAAGAAGAGTCTGGAGCCCAAGACTTTGATGCTACTCTGTAGGACAAGTGCTGCTGGAAAGTAAGAAACCTGAACTCTTCAATTCTGTCAGCAACAGATTCTGAGTAAATAATTTCTGACTTCTCATATTTAGTTCCTCTTTTGCAATATGAAGGGGTTTGATTTGATAATCTCTAAGTTCCTTTCAGGTTTTTGTATTCTGCTTTTTTGGTTCAGGAAAACTTTCTCATGAGAAAGAATGCTGAAGTCATTCATCTTCTGCCTTTACTCCTTGTTTTTAGGAATCATGGATCATGTCAATCACACCTGGACCCAGATGTTCATTCTTGCTGGTTTCAATATCTCTGGGAACATAAGATCTCTTGCCTTCTTGGGGACCCTGTGCATCTATCTTCTTATCCTTGGAGGGAACTTATTCATCATTGTCCTGGTTAAGGCAGATTCTGGGCTCTCCACACCCATGTACTTCTTTATCAGTGTGCTGTCCTTCCTAGAGTTGTGGTATGTCAGCACCACGGTGCTCACCCTGCTGCACACCTTGCTCCATGGAAGTTTACCCATTTCATCAACCTTGTGCTTCACACAGCTGTACATCTTCCATTCCTTGGGAGTAACTGAGTATTACCTGTTCTGTATCATGGCACTGGACCGCTACCTTGCCATCTGCCATCCACTCCACTACCATGCTCTCATGAGCAGACAGGTACAGAAATGCTTAGCAGGGGCCACCTGGATGGCTGGATCCTCAGCTGCGCTTGTTCCAGTCAGCCTCACTGCCACTCTGCCCTACTGCTTGAGAGAGGTAGACCACTACACCTGTGACCTGGCTCCCCTGATGCAGTTGGCCTGTGTGGACACAGGCTGGCATGCTGAGGTCTATACTGTGGTGAATGGCTTGATCAACCTCAGCACTCTTGTAATCATTTTAGGCTTCTATGGAGGCATCTTGAAAGCTGTACTGAAGCTACCCTCAGCTGGCAGTCGTGCCAAGGCCTTCTCTACCTGTTCCTCCCATATAACTGTGGTAACACTGTTCTATGGCTCTGCCGGGATTGTGTATGTGGGGCCAACTGCTGTGCATTCTGAGGGCAGAGACAAATTTATTGCTCTTGTTTATGGTTTTCTTACCCCCTTTCTCAATCCTATTATTTATACCCTTCGTAACAAGGAGGTGAGGGAGGCTGTTAGAAGGGTCACCCGAAGAATTAAGGGTCAATTGAAGTAAACCTGAGATTGTGTTTGACTATAGTCGTCCACTTGACAAGTGTATTTTAGGTTGCTAATCAAGAAGGTCAATTAACCATCAATCAAATCATATGCAGAATATAGAACTAAAATAGACTGATTCTTGTGGAGAACAAATTGAGAAACATTGAAAGAGAAGAAATATGGTCCCACAAACTGCTAATAGGAGAAAAAGTGAAATAATCACAACAACAAAGAACGAAGTACAAATGTTTGGGTTAACTTAGAACCTTGGAGAGGGATTGAATTATGTTGAGAGCATCTGAAAAACTGAAACTGGTTGTGAGGTTGTGGTCAATATTAAATTCATGGAGAAGGGGTAAGAGGGCATAAACTGAGCTCAGCCAGAGGAAAAATAAAGGGAACCTCCGGTAAATGTTCAGACATGGATTGCTGAGCTATGAAACAAGGTCCATAGGAGTGTGGATTTGATGGTCTCTGGGTGATCCTGCAGTAAAAGGATGTTTACTGTAAATAGAGAATTTATTCTCTGCTAGGAAAGGGCAGAAAATTTGAGAAAAAGCTGCTCAGCAAATTGATGATCTAAATGGAGTTACAGAAACACTCCTTGCACTTTGAATTTGAAATACGCAGTCACTTAGAAAACAGTCATTGTTGGAATCTCTTGTGTGAAGAGCTATCTCTAAGCATGAAGACAAGGTATAAAAAGCAAGCATATTTTCTGTTTTTAAGAAGCTTAAAGATTTGTTTTGAAGATCCCCCCCATTCTCTCCCTCCCCTTTGTACACATGCTCACACTGTCCAGCAAGCACCAACGGGAACATACTGTCTATCAATTTTGCTCTATGTGTATCTGCAGCAATGGGAAAGCATGAAAAATGAGAAGTGTATGGGTTAACAGAACGGAGTTTTACAAAACCAACTGACTCTGACATTTCCCCCAGTAGCTCCAAATTTGGAATTCTAAAACCCCGGGGGCCCATGTGCCCTGAAATTGTAGGATTCTTCTCAGAAATTCTGTCTTGGGATAATGAGGCTGCAAGTGTACTGAAAATGAAAAAAAAAAAAAGACAGTTTTGAAAAGAGGAATTCTGTAGACAGCACTTTTTTTTCTTTTTAGTAATACGATAAATGAGTTTGTTTCCTATTTTTGAATAATGTTTTGAAATGCTCCATAATGGAAGATGGGTTGGTGTTTTTTAACTAATTTAAAGGAAAAAAGTGAACATGAAAGAAAATGTGTGTGGAATGACTAACAGTAGCATTGACCTCCCTCTTAATTCAATAATCTTGAAATATCCTTAAATCAACAGTGTTTCAGAATCTTGAGTTGTTAAATGTGGATAGATTGTCCAATTTGAGGTTTTTCTATGAAAATTTAGCCTCGGATAAGTTTTCTCTGACTATGCATTTATATCTGGACTATATTCTCTGCTCAGATATTTTGTAGTCTCAGAGTAAAAGAGAATGAATTTTAATATTGTTAAACCATAAGGATTAATCTTGTGAGGGAGAGAAAACAAAGACTAGGAATCAAACCTGTGATTCTTTTCCTTTCACTAGTCAAAGCAAGATTTTTTCTTTTATGTTGAGAAGAGGCTAGCTTCAAGTCTCAGAATAAACCAACATGTAACTTTAGAAGACTTACTTTGAGTAAACACCATTTACAGATGGATGATGGCCACCAGGAAGAGAATGAATCACTGGATTATTTACTTCAGTAGCATATTACAACTCATTTGGCTAAACCTGTCTTTCAAGAAGAGAAAACTAAAGAGAAAATAACTTAAAATGTTACTGAGAACTTAGAATAGGGTAATATCAAGGTCTTCTAACCCTTTCCATTGTACCATAATAACACTTAGGGTTTCTCCTTTTACAGGAGTCAGAAAGCCTGTGGAGCTGAGCATCACTACGCAAAAGTGGGAGGGAAGGCAGAAGGCAGGCTCTGTGAGTCACAGACTTCCTCTGCAGGGCTGTGTTATCCTAGAGAACTCTCATTCCTGTAGTCAGTGTGGCCTGCCAGGGACTTCTCCAAGGCTTGCCTGGTGAGCCTTTGTGTTATTACTTCCTGCTATTGAAACAGTTTATTTTGTATAAACCCAAGTTCTCTGTCTTCCACAATTAAAGAATACATTTGAGAACCACAGGAGGAGTTTAGGAGAGTTTTATTAGAAATAATAATAAGAAAAAAGCTCTTAGTGGAGATTCACAAAGAGGAAGAAGAAGTCAAATGTGCTTTCTTTGTCTTGGCCTTATACAGATGGGCAGAATATGTGTGCATGTCACTGCGAGGGGGCTCAAAGGAAATGAGAAACTGGTTGTCTTGCATTTCTAATGTACTCTCCAGTTCAGTCCAGAAGTCCAAGTCCTGAGGTAGAAATGGGCTGTTAAAGCTGTTAATTAACTCAGCATACCCTGCATCAGTCTCCTTCCTGGAACAAAGAGTCCTCATCTCTCTAGTCTTGTCCCAACGCTTTACCTTTTGCTCTTGTGTTTTCTTTTGTATTTCTAAGTTTAATCACCTCTTGATTAACTGGCTTGAATTATCTCTTTTATGTGACCTTCTGTTAGGCTGCTTTTTTTACTGGCCACTTAGGCTCGTATTTTTCAGATTCATCTGCTGCCACTGATTAAATCAAAGGTAAAAAGGAGAAAATAATTTATTCAAAGTTAACTCTGAGGAGATGAAGGGGCTGATTTGCCTCAAATCAGCATCTCACTGGTTACAGGTGGGCAAGGGTCTTTTTTATAGAATGAGACAGAAGGGAGGGACACAGAGGGACAATGTGGACCTTCACACATTTTATCACTTCCAGCTATGTTCAGTTCATTTTCCCCTTTCTTGGGAAAGGACCTGGGCCACAGCACTCCTGGTGTTTGCATATTCTGTTTCTTGTCTGGGCTGAGGAAAGGTGAGAGAAGCCCTTTATACCTGTGGGCTCAGGAAGTCATTTGTCTCTAAAGAGAAAAGCAAAGTAACTAGCTAACTTTTAAAGTTCAGTTTTACAGTGCAGATAACAATTCTCCCCTTGGTCTTTTTTCAGCACTAAGTCTTGAGGGCCTTGAGGTACCACACCATCTGGTTGACTGTCTCATGTTGGATTGGCACATAAATTCCAGCAAAGGTTGTTGGAGCAGAAGCAAAGGAAAGCCAGATACTTGAGCCTGAAAAAGTACCACTAAAAATTCTGAAGTCAAATCCAAAGGAAGGCAAAGTCAGGAGATATAGAACATTGCACCTGCTAAAAGGGCTTTTTGCTTTTAGGCAGTAATGCGTAAGATCCCTGTTTCATAACCTCTGCAGCTCTATTTATTTTGGTAGAGTTGACACACAGGTAACTCATGCTTGCAACTTTCACTTCTTGTCTCTGAATGTAATTTTTTCTTTTCCAAAAGCATTGCCAATTAGCTAGCTGTGGTCAATTGTGTAAGTTAAGGAATGGAGGTGGCTGGAGACAAAAATCAATTTTCAGCAAGCAAGTTTTGATAAATGTATATATATTTTGCACTGGGGATCAAACTTGGAACCTTGCGCTTGTGAGGCAGGTTGCAAAACCACTGAGCTACATCCCCAGCCCTTGAAAAATATATTGAAAGCTGCTTTAGAATGAAGCAAGGACTGTTCAAAAGGGGAGAAATTTAATCCCCAATAAAGTTCCATTAGATTACACTTACATTAGCCAAGTAGCTGCATGGTCAGTGAGTACAGAAATTTCTTGCTTGTACTTGCCAAAAATCCAGAAAAGGACAAGGAAAGCAGCTATGGATATTGTCTCAGCCAAAGCTATTCTAAACAATCTTTTGAAGTACAGTGCCATGAAATCAGAAGTGTGTTTTCAGTTAGACAGGCCATGGTGTGTGAGAATACAATCACCTTTTTCTAAGTCAGAGATGACTAAAACTTTTCTAGGGAGCTGCAAGGTAGCACAAACCCTTTCACTTTTAACCCATTTACAATAGTTTTCCACATACCACCAGTGTCTCTACCCCTTGAAATCTCCTAATTCAAGTTGTTTTTTGGGGGACAAATTGATCAAGAACTTTGAACTCACAAAGAAGCCTCAGAATGATACCCCAAATAACTTACATAATTCTAAAAGGAAGCAAAAGTATTGCAATGAAAAGCAAGACAAAGGAGTATTTCAAACCAAACATAAACAGATATGATACCAGGAAATTTTTTTCTACCTCTGAATCTCTTCTCACACCAATCAGTGCCCCAAAATGACTGCAACAGATCCAAACAACCACAAATGGCAAAGGCATTTGCCTACCCACAAATACCACTCAGTGGCCCAAAATGAAAGGTCCAGTAGGTCCAGAATGGACCCAAATGGTGAAGATCTGAGCCCACCCCTCCTGGCTCAGAGGAAGAGGCTTCCTGGCCACCATCTGTCCCAACAGTCCCAGCCCAGAGGAAAGGACTTTTGGGCTGTCATCTGTCCTACCACTCCTGGCCCAGAAGAAGGGGCTTCTGAGCCAATGTCCCACCACTCCCAGCCCAGAGGAAGGGGCTTGTGGGCCGCCGTCCATCCTGCCACTCCCAGCCCAGAGGTAGGGGCTTCTGAGCCACCATCCCACTGCTCCTGGTCCAGAGGAAGGGGCTTCTGGGCACCATCCAGCCTGCTGCTACTGGCCCAGAAGAAGGGGCTTTTGAGCTGCCATCCCTCCAACTGCTCCCAACCCCTGTCCCACCTCTCCCAGTTCAGAGGAGGTCAGCCACATGGGTGCAAAGAGCAGTGACCACCCTCAACCCCAGTCAAAATGAGAAGACATGTAAATAAGTCTCAAAACCAGACTTCCACACCACCTACAGCAACCCCAAAGGAAAATGAGATGGAACATTCTGATACTCAACCACCTGGACCCAATGAACTGGCAACAAAAGAGAATCTGGAAAAAATGAAATCAGAAATAATTTCTCAGAAAACAGCAGAGATTGTGCTCAGAGTGCAAGACATGATTAATAAATCTAGAGAGGAGCTGAGGAACATGATAGAATCCCAACATAGGAAA